AATGTGTTCCCCGGCAACGGCGCCAAAAACTGACTCGTTCCAACTACAACATCCCGATCGACGGTCAAGTATAACTGCCGACCGGGTGTAGCATAGGGCAAGCAAGAAATAATAATTTATCGTACCGCGAGGATCTAGGCTTACCCTACTTCAGGTTTAGGGTTCGTTATCTAGCCAACCTAGAGTAGTGATAAAGAGAATTAAACTAACTAACCTAGCTAACCACTAACCTTGCTATTTACAAATTTGGGAGCGCTCTTGTGTTGAATCCTCCTAGTTCCATCGTAGGATCGATGTTGAGTACCATCTTAACTCGATCGAATCACTACCCTACCGTTAGGAGATGAACTCCCTCGAGACGGACCTAGAACGGTGAAGTGATGGACAAGTGGTGCTCTATTCAACCTAGGGAACCCCTATATCGTAGGAGCTCGATCCAATCGACTCCCTCGGGGATTACCCGGACGATATAGGGTGAGGAGTGACCTGAAGACGCCAAGAAAGGGGCTCTAAGAGGATTTTCTCCCTCCTAGGTCAAAAGCTCAAAACATGAAAATCGAATCCAAACTCATGCCATTCATGAAAACCATCAATAACTTAGATAATAAACTCAATCAAACATGGAATTCACCACATACAACAACACCCAATCAAAATCTAGAACTAGGGTTCTTAAACCCAAGAGAAAAGAGGGTGAGTTTTTAGAGAGAAAAGAGAGATATTGCAAATTGGAGGCCAAGATCTTTTTCTTCTTTTTGGCTCGTTTTCACCTGGGGGTGATTTTCACAGTCTAAGGGCGTGACATTTGCCTCCAGCCCGTGAACAGTGCTCAACCTCCACTTTTGGGCTCGTTTTGACCTCCGAATGACCCGGAATTTGTCCAGGACCTTCCCACATGTACTAGGACCTGAAATATGACAAAAGAAGCACAACCTAGTGTATAATAGATCAATGAACAATGATAACCAAACAATCAAAAAATGAAGGCTAAAGCATGTGCAATTGAGTCTGAATCACAAATGGTGCGACCCTAGACTTTTCAACTTTACTTCTATAATGTGGGAAATCATTAATTAACATTGGATCATCACTAATGTATCCAAGAATCTCTTAAAATAGTTAGTCAATAGAGACTTCTCTTCCACCCAACTAACCAAAATTGGTTTTAAGACCTAGAATTTCACTATAAGGATTTTACCCAATACATATGGAATTAAATAGCTCATTTTCATGCAATTACTCAACCTCATCCAATCTATGTGTGTTCAATCAACCCAATTAGATTTCTCTCTGCTAAGTCAAAATACAATTCACTCAAACTTTGTTAAAAATTAGGAAAACTTGGCCAAAATAGAATTCAAACCCTTCTAATTTATAACGTCCTAGATTCAATATTTCTGAATCCATAGCGTTGCACATATGGGGGTCCTCTTCGAGCCAATGATGTTCTTGGAGAAGAAGACTCTAGACTTTGGTTTGCCGACTTGTTGTCCAAAGGCAAGGCCAAGCTCATCAAGTAGAATCAGCTCATCTGAAGAAGAAGAAAAACAAGTGAGGCAAAAAGGGATCTGATCTAGTAAATCTAATTTGCTGCCAATACTCATTCTCCAGTCAAACAATAATGATATGGCGGAGACGTTCCATACACAGTGTAAAGATGTAGGGAGAAAGAGGGCACCTCAGACCAAGGCCCCTGCAAGGGGTGAACTCATCATTAAGGCCTTCGTTCCATTATAAATATTTAAGTTTCATCAAAATGTTTAAGTTTCTCAACCAATCATTTGGTGATAGCTTTGTTAGTGACATTTCAAATATTGATCGGGCGAATTTGCTCAATCAGATAAGGTGCTTGAACTTTTGGGATCACTACTAGAATCATTTCATTGACCGCCCTGATTTTATCTGGATAATCCCAACTATCTTTTGCAAACAAGACAAGGTACTGACCAAACATGGACAAATATTTTTGAAAAAATATAGGGTTGAGGCCATCCTTGCTATGTGCTTTCAAAGAAAGTGCCTTCTTCCTTATGTTGAACTCGAGTAATCTCGTCTTTAGGCTCTTTCGTCTTCCGTGACAGAAAGTATTCCTTGATGAATGCTAGTGCAATTATCTTCCATGTGGTGAAGGTCCTGGTGGATGGTAGTCGAGCCACTACTTTGCTCCTCCTTCAAGTGAGAACGGGAAAAGTCGTAGTCAAATTCCATCTTTGGTAGAATCATCTCCTGATATGGAATTGATGATCTCTAAGAATGTATTCAAGTGTTGCACCAGAACATATTCATTCCTTCCTCCAAATCTCCCTGCTTGTCACACCATCTGGATGAGTTGAGCTCTGACTTTTGTGGTCGTTGGCGACGCAACAATGCTTGAGGTGATGTTGGATGCTCTTGGCCTTGAATACTCATCGAGATTTGGTGGAATTGCCACTTGCCTTTGTCATTCTTCTCTAGCCATCGTTGGTGTTGAAAAAAGTTGAAGATACTCCTTCTTCCTCCCATTCGAAGTTGTCTTCGTCTATGTTGTCCTCCTCTTCCAAGGGTTGCTCGAAATTGGTGGGGCTTGAGGTTCGTCTTTAAGTTGGGTAAACTAGATGCTCCTCCTTCTTGAACTATCTCTTCCACAATATTTATGATTTTTCTTTGTCTTCTAGTGGACTCATACGAAAATCTACAAAGCAAAATTGACTCAATACTAAGCATAAGATGGTTAAATGCTTTTATATACGATTATAAATCTCTAGCAACTGTGCCAAAAACTTGATGTAATATCAGGTGATAAAATCCTAGGAGGACTTGGGGTCATATTCCCCGAGGTCTTCTAATGCATAACTACTCACACCAACCATACATGACATACACAAGAATCATAAGGACATTTAGGGGTTTTCATTTAACAAACAAACAAAGCAAGAAGAGTAAAGTTGTTTAGGGATTTCAATTTATAGATGCATAAAAGTAAAGATACATTATTGTAGAAGGTAGTAAAACTCGAAGACTATCATGCATACTAGGGTTCATTCATATCATGCATCGATGACTCATCAATCTTAACACCTTATCCCTTCCTCTAAGGCCACTCTGTACATGTGCATGCGCCTCTTGTGATAGAGTTTTAACTAGCTAATGAGTGCTTTCACTTCATGTCATTACCTAATCAATGAAGAACAAGTTAGGATAGCATATAGTTAATTGTGGGCTTCTACGAACCATTACAATTTACATAGTATATAACATCGATGATTTAACAATCAAGCATTGATAATACTCTAAGCATAAATGGTTGATCATTTCATCCATATTCGTGTAGCATCAAATCCATTGGGTCTAATAAGTACTTGATGTCAGAATTGAGAAATTCTATCGCCCGAATCGGGGTATCTCTATATGGTAATTTCTTGACAACCTAGGTAATATTAAGCACAATGCATATAGTAGCATACAATAGAATCATAAGCATCAATGATACAAGAGCATTCATACTATAGAAACATCAATGGCTATCATTACATAAGCATCGAAACTAAAAGCATCCATACATAGGCAATATGCATAAAAAATCTCATAGACAAACACAAGCATGAGATAAAATCATAGCATTCATTCACATAACAATAAAGAAGATCACATCCTTATACAATCAATTTTGACTAGCTACATAGAGAAGAAGGAAGGTAGCACCATTGATGATGAGAACATGTCCTTAGCTGCCGACCCCTCCACTTCGACTAGGCTAACCACTTGTGTAAAGTGTTGCAGAGAGTCTATGTGTTTGTGCAGCCTTACTAAGCTAATGGGTCATGCCCTCTATTAGGGAAAAATCCCAGCCTAAAACATCCAAAGTCGACAAGGAAAGAGTCTTCTAAACCTTGTAGGCCAAGCGAACTTCCTCAACAAGGTTTAGGGTTGACGGCGGTAGGGCAATAGTTAGATCCGCCATTCTGTTTCTTCGTGGGTTGGGTTTCCTGGTTCATAGACTTCTTCTTCTGACGATTTGGGTGCACCTTGATGTAGTGACAGTTATACATGTTTCTTGGACCGACGCTCTTTCTTTCTTTCTTTCTTTCTTTCTTCAGATCGGGCCGAGTCTTCTTCCTATGGGTTTGTCTTGAAATAATGTAGCAACTTCTAGTTGACTTCTCCGCCAGTGGACCACTTATTTCTCACTAAAGCTCCTTAATCTTCTATTTATATCTCATTTGGTCCGCCAAAGTTCTTAATGCTTGATCCAATCATCCTTAGGTTGCTTTGCACCTTCAAAATCATCAAAAACATACCAAGAAGATATCAAAGAGTACAAGAACATTACCTAGGTCTATTAAAAGCTTATTGATTAAATAGTGTGATTTAGACAAAAAATATCATTGAAACGACTAAAGATGCTTTGATAGAAGGGGGAAATGTATATAGAATGTGAGTGACAAATACTATAAATAAAGTGTTATCAGGTTATAGGGATTCGTTGTATATGACATTTGGTTGCCCAGTCTATTTCAAGGGCTCATCGGTGACTATATCTTCGATAATCCCATCTTCTCTTTCCGGTTGTGTGGTAGTTTGGTCCTCTACACGGACTCGCTTCTTAGGCTGTTGTGTCTCTTTATCTCCCTTTTCTGTTTGGCGAGGAAGACTCTAAAGGAGGATGTCGCACACCCGGCGTAGGGTAGGCCAGTTTTGATTCTCCTGGTGACGTCGGGGAGGTTGACGGACAAGCCGCCGCCATGATGTCGTCAGCTGAAGCAGAAATCCTAGTTGATCGCTGATTAGTCGCCCTTTAGTAATCTCACAGTTCTTAATAGTATGCCAATTTTTACTATAAGTTATAAATTATTTTATGTGAACCAAATCTTTTAATTGCTTCTTCTTAGTTGATTTTTCGGTGATGATGATTTTTTACGTTTCTCATACATTCTATCAAATCGCGTAATGTGCATAAACCGGTTGTACCATATCAGATCACTTGATTTAGTGAGACCATTGTTTAAACCGGTTTGACACACTGGTATTTGAAACTGTCCCATTCACTCACTTCTCGTCGCGCCTCCATTCTCAAATCTTCCACACGACGGCGACTGCGAGTCCAGCTGAATCACACCGGAAAGAAGAAAAATATACGCCGGAGGGAGCCGTTCAGGTGTTATGATTCTTAACATAGTGTTCTTCACGCCATACTCAAATCAAACAAAAAAACACCTAGTATTCCCTAGTTTCTTCTTCCACACACGAAACTCCCTCTCACCCTATCTCGTGTACTCCGCCTTCTGCGTATAAAACAACACTCTCGCGCATCGTTGTTCCTCCTTCGCTACAGCAGTTGTCGAAGTTGGGCGGTGGAAAAAAGATCGGAGGCTGCGGAAGGGGAGAGAAGGAAAAAGAAGAGGAGAAATGGCGCCTAGGCTGAGTCCGGGCGACGCTACGGGATTTAAGCTGCTCTTCCTCCTTGCGGCGCTGTACGGACTCATGTCCGTGCTCGTCTACTCCGTACTCCACATGAAGTTTATTACGCCGCTCGCCGTCGAAGCGCCTCCGGATCGTTTCTCCGAGGCACGCGCCGTCGAGCACGTTCGCGCCTTAACGAGAACTGGACGCCAGGTGAGTATTTCCGATTCGGTTTCGGACTTTCACGGGGAGATGTGGCAATTTGTTTGTCTTGATTGTTCAGAGTATATTGTGACTTCACAATTGTGTTTGGTAGGAAGGGCGTCCTGGTTTGAGAGAAGCTGCAAATTACATTAGAACGGAGCTTGAAGCGATAAGAGGAAGATCTGGTTCAGGTTACAGGTTCGTTGTTGTTAGAGCTTGTGTGTGCTTGACTGGTTTATTTGGCTTGTTTCTTGTGTATGAAGTTCATATTTCATTTTGTCAATCTGCAGAATTGAGATTGAAGAGACTGCAGTTAACGGTTCCTTCAATATGATGTTCTTAGGCCATAGCATATCCCTGGGATACAGAAATCATACTAATTTGATCATGAGGTATGTACATCTCATTCACCATTTCGATGGTCTACAACGTTCTGTAAGCGAATCTTCTCATTTCCCACTTAGTTGTTCGGAAAGTTGTACGTGAACTGTCCTATAAAGGAATAGAGTGTTCAATTGCCTTTCTTTTCCGTTTGCACATTGATGCAAGCATTACTCAATCAGTAGAAGAGAACTGTAGGGGGAGAAGGGAAACTAAGGGAGCATAGTGTTGTGCTTAGGGACCACTGCCTTTCTGGTTTTTCCTTCTCTTCCAGGGAGAGCATGTATTGAATTTGAAGTACTTGTTAACAATTTCAATGTTACTTGAGTAGAAGTTGGAATCCTAGTTGCGACTGCGTGACTCTTTCCCTATTGTTAGACTTAGACCAACTTTTCCTGAATGGCAGGATGTCATCGGTAGATTCACCAAGCGATGATGCTTCTGTTCTAATAAATGGCCATTTTGATAGTCCACTTGGCTCTGTAGGAGCTGGCGATTGTGGTTCTTGTGTTGGTAAGTCAAAAAAATAACATACGAGTGTGGTTGTTTTGCCTGCACTTTGGCTGCTGATTATTTAGCTTCTTTCCTATTGTTTTGTAGCATCAATGCTGGAAGTTGCAAGAGTTATTGTGGACTCTGGCTGGATCCCTCCTCGTCCTATTATATTCCTTTTCAACGGGGCTGAAGAACTTTTCATGTTGGTATGTAAAGAATCCACAATGGTATTGTCTAGGGTAGTTGTCCTTAAATTAGCTCTGCAGCAAATTCTACTTGCACAAACTAGACTGCAACTTATGTAGTAATTACATATCTATTAAAAGGTATTCTGGGGGTAATATGGTATAGTTTATAAACTGTGGCCATGGGAAATGGAAAAGTGAAAGGTTGTTTTTCTTTGGTGTTGTTTACTTTTCCATTTTCCTTTCTTTCTTTTTTGGTGGCTTTGAAATAGGGAAGAGTTCAGATTCCTCGCAAGAGACTGAACTATTAGTTCTAGAAGTTGGTTATCTAGGTTTTCATAGATTTCATGATGAACTTGATTGGACCAAGGTAAGGCAGAGTTGCATGTTGAGGCTTAGTATATTGATTGCTTCTAATGTTTCAGGCTGCGCATGGTTTCATGACAACACATGAATGGCGGCATTCTATTGGAGCTTCCATAAATGTGGAAGCATCTGGGACAGGAGGACCTGGTAGGATAAGTTACCAACTGTTGTCACAGTTAGCAGTTTAAGGCATTCCTTCAGAATCCAAATTGAACAAAACCTTGGATCTTTGGGGACATAAAAAAATGGCACATCATACACACTTTGATGATGTCATCACCTCCTTTGGGATAGATAAGTTTACATTATCTCTTTTTGGCTCTCTTTTGACAGATTTAGTTTGCCAATCTGGACCTAGTTCATGGCCCTCTCAATTATATGCCCAGTCTGCTATTTACCCCATGGCTCACAGTGCTGCTCAGGTTTTTCTCTTAATCAAATGCAAATTTGACTTTGTAATAAAAGTTAAGATTTCTTCTCATGTCACTAAAACAATTTTAAACTTCTAGCCAGCCGAATTTTCGTCCGGTTTGTTTCCATCCGTCTAAAAATAATACGGAAAGAAAAAAAGTATTGACTGGCGAAGCCCCTACAACTGTTTTGCACCACTTGCCTATTTTTTCATCAGCCACTGTTTTAGTCTCAATGATGTTTTTTTTCTTCTTCTATCTGTAGGATGTTTTTCCTATTATTCCCGGCGACACAGATTACAGAATGTTTTCCCAGGATTATGGGAACATCCCCAGCCTGGATATCATCTTTCTTCTAGGCGGATATTATTACCATACTTCCTTTGACACCGTGGACAAACTACTGTACGCATTACATCTGCTATTTTGGTATAAAATTATTGCTATGTGATTTTACTATTACTTAGTTTATATGCACCTTCACCTTATTCATGCATATATCGTTAAACCAGACCTGGATCCATGCAAGCACGTGGAGAAAACTTTCTGAGTGTACTCAAAGGCTTTACAAATTCTTCCAAGCTACGAAGTGCCCAAGAAAGAAATTCTCTTGAAGCAGCAAATGACTATGATGATGAGCGTGCTGTTTTCTTCGATTATTTGACTTGGTTCTTGGTATGTTGCAAAAGTTGGTAGTGTCTCAAATCTCTAAGTCAAATGACATTGCATTGGTAATGCTTTGATCCGACATCAGTTCATGATGACATATTTCCTGGTTTTGCTTCTGGATCTTTCAGGTGCTATATTCAAAAAGAGTTGCAAGAGTACTGCATAGTGGTCCCATCGTTCTCTTTCTTGCTATGCCGTTGATTTTGTGTTTTCTTGATTCTGGGCGTCGTTCTTGGTTTACAACTTTCTGCGACCTTATGAAAGGTGGAGTACTGATCTATAACTTTTTATAAAATATTTGACGTGTTCAGATGGTTTGTAATTGTTTTTATTGTGCTAATTATACCAAAAGTCTTTTCCAGGAATGATGTTGCATGCAAGTGGATTTATCCTTGCTATTCTTTGCCCCGTTGCCTTTTCCATCGCCAGATTATTTTTCTCCGGTTGTGCTATGAGCTGGTGGGTTCAACCTTTAGTCTCTGTGTTTCTTTCACCCATCCAGTCCAGTTCTCCAGTATGCATAAATTTCGCTGTCGATCTTTGTAATACTGGATTCACTGGTACTTTCTGATCGATATTGCTATTTGTTTGGAATATTTCATTGAAATGCAGGTTTGCTCGTCCGTACTTGGCATACATGATGTTTATCCCTTGTTCGCTTCTCGGTTTGCTGATACCAAGGGCCATTTGGAGTTCTTTGCCTCCCTCTCTGGATGCTTCCAACCTTGAGAAATCCAAGGAGGTATCAATCACAGTCACATCCTAAATTTGGCAGGAAATTGCAAGCGGTCTCCCAAATGTCAAGTGACTCTGAATTAGACCTGAAATACAGATCTTCTTGATGATTATTTGTCGTGAAGGTTCCACTTTTAACAATTTATGACATTCCAAACCTATTTCAGGCATTATCTGATGAAGCAAGGTTTTGGGGAGCATTTGGATTGTATGCTGTCATAACTCAGGTATACACTAAGTTTGGCTCCTTACTCCTTAGTATTTGAGCTTGAATAATCTCTAGTTTCTGCAACTGCTAACTTCATTAAAGTAGGCTTATACTGCAGCTGGGCTCAGTGGCGGATTCTTGGCCTTTTTAATTTCAGCTTCTATGCTTCTAGCTTGGATCTTCTTTTGCCTTTCTGTCAAATTTTATGGTCATCAAACACTTCGGTAAGGTTTTATACTTCTCTTGAAACGTGCACATCTCTCGGCTCATTTGTTTCCTCCAAAACTTTACTCATCCCTCAGGCATAGTTGCATTTTTGGCTTCTTGTTCAACACCCTACTCTTTGATTGGTTTCAAGTCTTCTATGATTTGACTAGGCTTTTCTTTCAGGTCAAAAATCTCTTATATAATACCTCTGGTCCCTTACCTCATATATGGCGTATATTTTGGTGCATTTCTCATCCAATTTTTGATCGAGAAGACGGGAATGGTGGGCGCTGTCCCACCCCCATATGGTATGTTTCACTAATTTCATTCCCCCTGCTCTCCTAGTTGTAGGAATCTGATTGGTTCACCTTCAAATTTATTTCTATGCTCCGTCTTACAACTTTAATTATTGTCTTCAGGATATTATGTTCCCGATGTTCTGGTGGCAGCAGTAATTGGACTTGTAACTAGTTGGTGTTTCGGCCCTTTAGTACCTGTTTTGGGTTGGTGGTTAGCTAGGTCATCCATTTTGAAGTTCTTGTTGCATATTACCGTGGTTGCCATGGCGGTCTCCTCACAGTTCTTCCCATACAGCAACCTAGCCCCTAAAAGGCTTGTTTTCCAGCATACCGTCGTGACTACGGGTATGAAATGACATATGATGAGTTTTGTTTGAAGATCCATTGCACATCCCGTTTTATTGCATTTATGGATTAAAGCTTAAACAGTTTTGGCTCCGGGAGTTTGATACTTTTCTCAGATGATCTCTTGATGCTGTTTTATTTCGATTAGCCATCCTTTGGCAGAAAATGTCAATCTTGACAGGGACTGTTGATTTGGGAAATTCTGTAAAATTCAGGGGTTGGTTTCTGGAGAAGTATCAAACATCAAGATTCAAAATTAGCATTAGTCCCACTTAATGCATTTGTATATCATCCTCTAAGACTTTTGCTGCTGTTTTATTTCGATTAGCCAGGCTTTGTCGTCCTGACTTCTACTTGTTCACCTATTATCTTCAGATGGAAGTAAGATTATGGACTCAAACTACCATTTCGCTGTGGTGGATTCGAATTCTCTGAACTTTCTTTTCAAACATTCGCCTGAAGTGGCGAAGCAACTGCAAATTGGCTCAGATTTCTCTCTGGGTACTGCTAATAAGTCTCAACTCCACGACTGGGTGGTATGCAATTCCTTCTTAAGTTAATTGTTGCCAATGTTTTATATAACATTGGTTCCTTTGTCCTGAAACTAAACATATTCTCTCGAAACTGATTAACCATGAGCAGGCACTTTTCCCAGTATCTCACCTGTTCTCTGGAAGTCTGAAGTTTCCTGCTAGCAACCACGAGCTCCTGAAGCAGTATCAACGGTTCCCTCATCTGTACAACTCCAAGCCTGCTACTGTCTCTGGTGATGGATCCCGGAGAGTTCACTTGGAGCTTTCTTTGGGGTAAGTGGATTACATGAGCTGTTACGTGCAGTTTAAAAAATCGCTTACACAGTCAATGAACTATGTGATTTGTGACAAACCATCGTTAAAATACAAAACTTCAATAAATTACTAACCAAACTGGGTACTTTGTTACAAGATAGTCCAATCTGTCTAATCTGGCACTAGTTCGATTGGGTGAACATGGTAAATAGGCTCGTTGTCACTAACTCATGCACCTTGTCAACTCAAACCCTTTCTAACTCTCCCAATTGGAATCTGGATCCCAACCCTGTTCTTGAATTGGGAAGGGCTGGATTTGGTGCTGATTCAGAGATTCTGCAGACAATTTGACATGCTGATGCAGCCGAATGAAAAGCAAATTAGACAGAATGAGATGGGGTTGTCAGTGACCATGTTTGTTACACATCCTATTAAACATAATCTAGGTGCTTCACCCGGTACATGCGTGTATTATAATCTGTGATTTTGTATTCTTCAGCGACTCAAAGGAAGTGTGGGTCACAGTCCTCAACATTACGGGTCCCTTATCGAGCTGGTCCTTCGCAGACAACAAAATTCCAGGTACTATCACCGATCATCAACTCTTCCATCTGATTGGCGAAATGAAACCATTTGATTTGCTGATCAACTTTGGAAAAACAAATTGGTGTGCAGCTCCTGAAGTCATCAGTGAAGGCCCTGCGTCGTTCATCTGTAGGCTCAGCGGATCAAGCCATGAAACTTGGACATTCTGGCTAGAGGTAAACCAACTGATTTCCCCGCTCTGTCCCATTTTCTTTCCTGGCAATCAATAAACACCGAATGTGCCTCACTCACTCATCTTGAAATACTCCCTGGCGATCAGGCTAGCAGTTCGGAGAACCTGAGAGTGGACGTGGCGGTGTTAGATCAAGCTTTGGTCGACGAAACGGAGAAGTTGAAGGGGCTCTTCCCCGACTGGGTCGATGTCACTGCCTATACTGGTTTCTTGTCCAGCTATGTGTTTTAATCAACTTATAGCGCTGTACTCTTCTTGCAACGCTAGTCGAATAAGGTGATTTAAGAGTAGAATAGGAGAAACTCGAGCCATTGTTTTGGCTTCTCTAGAAGGAACACGCATGAATTTAGGGCACAAAAAATTCAAGCTTCCGTTAACACGACAAATGTCTCTTGGCCAAATTTGCAATTGTTGCCAAGAATCGAATAGCAGCTCGATTTCTCTCTGATTGAAACATGAGATTTGCTTCTGTATCTCGTTAGTCTACCGTGGAAGAAAGTACTTATTCATGAAGGCTTGGAAAAGATCCCAGTGAAATGTTCGCAGAGGATAGAAATCGAGTCACTGCTTCACAATTCATTGACGTGAGAAAGGAAAAAAAGACAAGTCTGATTACACCTTGTGACACGCCTTGGAGAACCACTGAATCACATATCTCCTAAAATTCTTCATATGAATGAAAGGATTGTCTTTGTCATGTCCATCAAAGAATCCAGCATTGCAAAGCAGTTGCATAATGTCAGGGTTGAGATCGAAACTCTATTCTGTGATCTCCGACTTAATTATGCTAGAGGTGATTTTGGCTGCTCTAAGGCGAGTGTAATCACCAACGTGTCAGCCTAATCGGTCATGGCTCCGGATAGCATAACAACACTAAGGTGTTGTTATTATAACAACAGGGGTATAAGGGTAACTGCACAAAAATTAATAAGTTGTTTTCTTTTACCTGGCATTAATTTTGAAATTCAAAATTAATAATAAAATTCATTGAAGCGCGCGTTGAGACATTTCCGTTTTCCGCTTTCCCCTTTCCCCTCTGCTCACGAACTGCTCTCCGACGGGACGTCTCCTTCGGTTGCTCTCTCCCTGTTCTCGCCACCAAATTTCCATCTGCATCGAGCGATTTCGTCTGCGGCTTGTGGATTTCCTTCGCGCGATTCTTTTTCCTCCGTCGCCGAAGTGAATTTCGAGGTATGCCGGTGATTTCCTCCGCTAAACTGTCTTCTCCTCCGTCGTCAGTTTTGGTCTGCGAAGTCGCCGTTGTCGTTTGGCATCGCCGGAGTTCCACTTGTATGGTGTTAGTTTGGCGTCGCCGTTTTCGTTTTCGTTAGCATTGTCATTGCTTGCTTCTGCTATTGAATTTACAACCTTCGTTTTCATGTTTGCCCTCAGTTACTTTCGTTTTCCAGTTTTCTGCGATGTTTTGACGCATGCAGTCTAAATTTGTTGAAGGAGACGAGGAAATTTCATAGTTGTGCGTTCTGGTTAGGTTTTGTTGGATGTTTCTTCATTTTTGTGGTGTGCTTTGATTATTTTAGGGTTTCTGGTTTCTCATGAGTCGTTTGTGGTTTGTTTAGTAGTTCTGTTGTTTTGTTCTATATTTTGGTGGTGCGCTTTGTGTTTGGTGACAGTTAGGGTGTTTGTGGGTTCGATTGGGGCCTTTCTGGAGGGTTTTAATAAAACTATTGTGTATTTTCAGGCTGCTGTTGGTGGTTCTTTTAAAAGGTTTTGTGGTTTGTGTTTCGGATTTCACAGTTTGGTTTAGAAGATTTACTGGTGTGCATTTGCAGTTGTTGTTTGTCTCCTTTACATCTGATTATTGAGTCGTTTGTGGTGGTGTTCAGTAGTTCTGTTGTTTTGTTCTTTTTTTTGGTGGTGCGCTTTGTGTTTGGTGACATTTAGGGTGTTTGTGGGTTTGATTGGGGCCTTTATGGTGTATTTCCAGGGTGATGTTGGTGGTTCATTTGCAGTTGTTGTTTGTCTGCTTTAAATTTGATTATTGGTTTGTTTTCATGGTTTTATAGTTTGCATTAGGCCCTTGATGGTTTGGATTTTATATGTTCTGGTATGAGATTGCTTATGTTGGTTTGTGTTTTGGTTGCTTTGTAGGCATGGCACCTGGTAAGAAACGTGCAGTAAAGGGGAAAGAAAAGGAAAAAGTTCCAACACCTAAGCAAGAGAAAGATGGTGCATTAAAGGGGAAAGGAAAGGAAAAAGTTCCAACACCTAAGCGAGAGAAAGATGGTGCTTCTCCTGTGGCCGGAAAGCCGGATAAGAGGCATCGTAGTAATACTAATCGTATTCTTGCCATCATGGATGCTGACAGTACAAGTGAAGAAAAACTGCAGATGCTTGATCCTCTGGGTTTTAGGGGTGTGTCGAGGGTTAAGCTTACGAGACTCCCGGATAATTTTACTGAATGGCTTTGCAAAAGTTTTGATGTCAGTTCAAGGTCTTTCCAGCTGCTTCGGTTAGGGAAGTTTAGAATTGGAGAGGCAGATGTGGAGAGAGTCTATGGTTTGCCGCGTGGACCGTATGCTGTTAAGCTGGATATGTTCAGTGCAGCCCAGAGGCACAGGTGGGGAATTAAGTTAGGGCTTTCCAATACTAGGAAAGGAAAGGCGACATTGGCAAACGTTAAACTGGCATTGGAAGATGAGAGAGACAATAAGAAGTGGAGGGATCTTTTTGTACTGTATACAATGGAGGCAGTTCTGTGTCCCAGTGGAAATTTGAAGATTAACCTCTCCTATGCTGGTTTTTTGCAAGATGAAATGGTCGCTGACTTCACCCAATATAATTGGTGTAAGCATGTGGCTGACCATTTTAATGACAGTATGGTTGAAGTGGTTCAATCAAAATCAAAGTTCCCTGGTGACGTTCATCTTCTTTTTGTAAGTCAATAAATATACCCCTTTTCGAATTTTGGTTTACTGTTTCATTTATGGTTTGTTTATTGACGAATGTGGTGTGGTTGAAGATGTTTATGGTTTGTTTAAGAATATTTATGGTTTGCTTTTGCCCCCCCTGTGTTATGTTTCTGGTATTGTTTTTCATTTATGGTTTGTTTATTGACGAATGTGGTGTGGTTGAAGATGTTTATGGTTTGTTTAAGAATATTTATGGTTTGCTTTTGACCCCCTTTGTTATAATGTTTCTGGTATTGTTTATCATTTATGGTTTGTTTATTGACGAATGTGGTATGGTTGAAGATGTTTATGGTTTGTTTAAGAATATTTATGGTTTGCTTTTGCCCCCCTGCTGTGTGGTGTGTGTATTATAATCTTTCTGGCACAGTTTGTTTGTGGTTGCTTGACTTCTGTCTGTTTGTATATGTGGCAGATTTCGATTCTTGACCGTTTGAAGAACCCCCCTGAGTTTCCCATACCGACCTGTAGGCACAGGTCGTACAAAGTCGCAAGTGCTGCTTTTCAAGTACTGATGGACGAAGGTCATCTCACTATTGGTCATCGAGATGTAGTGGTGGAAGACCAAGCAACCTCCAGTCAACCAATGGGACGAGGACGTGTGCAGGGTTCAAAGAGGAAAAGGCCGGTAGATGATCTTGATATGGAGAGGGAAGGGGATCTTCCGAAGCTTCCCTATCTTGACCTCAACTTGGATGGTATTCATTCGGTTGAAGAAGTGAGTGATTTTTCTGTGTTATTCGTTTTATGGCTTTCTTTAGAGTACTTCCAGTGTGCTTTACAAGTATAGAGGTTTGCATTAGTTTGTTTACGAAATACTTTATTTTATTCATGTGCTGGTTAGTTGTGTTTTCTGTTGTTTGTTCTTTGGCTTGCTTTAGTGTACTTGTGGTTATTATTAAAAGAATAGTGGTTTGCATTACTTCGTTAAAGGAATATTTTATGGTACTCATCGTTTGGTAGGTGTTTTTCTGTGAGAACTCAAACATATGTGGTTTGTATAAGTGTGTTTTAGGTGTTCATTAAAAGGAATGTGAGATTCTTTATAAGGTTTATGGTTTGCTTTTGGGCTGTTTAGTAACTTTGGGCTGTTTTCGTGTTTTTGTAGGCATATCAGTTGAAGAATGACATGGAAAGTTATAAGAGGGCTTTGTTGAGGATGGCTACTCATTACAGTTCGAGCATTGAACAAGTTGCTGATCATATAAAGATGCTGGAGGGGCAGCAACCAGAGGATAGTCCTGAAGATAATGTCGATTTCACTGATAGAGTTGATGATGTTGCTGTTGGTAAGGGAACCAATGATGTCGGTCTCAATGCATCTGCTGCCAATGCTGATGATGAGACTGGTGCTAACAGTCCAAAGTCCCCGGGTCTTGATGATTTGTCAATGGAAATGGATAAGGATGTTGCTTGTACTGCTGATGGTGTGTCGCCAGATGTTGGTCACAATGATCCTGCTGGCACTGCTAATGATGATACCTCTCCTAAGGGAGTATCATATTCGAAGGGGCTTGATGATCATCTTGATAATCTGACAATGGAGATGACACAAAAAAGTGTTGATTCTGAGAATGCTAAGAAGGTGATGGAGATGGACAGCTGTGAGGAAAAGGGACAAGGTGATGATGGAGATGACAATGTTGATGGTGTTGATGCTGCTAAGTTGGATAACTTGGTTGAGAAGGTCGTAAAGGTATTTTTACTGTTTTGTGTTTGAATATTTGTGGTGTGGATTATACTATTTTTGGTTTGTTTGTCATGTCTTTTGTAGTAGGTTGTTTTGCATTTGTTAGTAGTGTGGTTTACATATATCTGGTTTTCTTAAAAACTTTTGTGGTTTGGTTTCTGTAGTCTGCTATGGGGGATGTTTGTGAAGATGTGGTGGTTGATGAGAAAAGGAAAGAAGCTGATGTCGGTGAGGTGCTTGAGGGTGGTGATGATAGTGCAGATTTAACATTGAGTCAGCTAGTTAGGAAGGGAAAGGTAATTTGTTGTACAATGTTTCAGTTTTGGTTTGTGTTTGTAGTGTGGTTTATCGCATTTGTGGTTTGTGTTAGTTGTTTTTAGTACTGTTTTATCTAATTTGTGGTTGCTTTAAAAATCAGAAAAAATTTAAAGTGAAGAATGCAGGAGGCTCATCAGGTGTTGATATTGATGTGTTGAAGGGTGTTGTGTTGCGATATGCAAGGGATTCGAATAACTTGTAAGTTAATGTGTATAGATTTCATACACATGCGGTTGTTTGTATATATTTTTTTATATAGTGCTTATTAGTACTTTTCTAATGCCGACTGTTTTGTTTGTTATGGATTATGAAAAATAGGAAGGAAATCCTTTTCAGTCGTGTTGATGGATACGATTGCTTGTATAGAAAGGACACAGAGACTTTGACACATGGGCAATGTGTGAGTGTGGATGTTATTGACTGCTACGCTGCCTATCTGAATCGGGAGCAAGTGAGAAGAGGGCAACTGAAAAGATGGGTGTTCTATTCAGGGCTGGCGGTGAGTTACATTTCCTGCTAGTTCTGGTTTGTTTTAGGGTTTTTGTGGTGTGCATTATAATACGTCTGGTTTGGTTTAAGGGTTTTGTGTTGTGCATTATAATACGTCTGGTTTGTTTTAGGGTTTTTGTGGTGTGCATTATAATACGTCTGGTTTGTT